GTGGAGAGAACAGGGACAGGTGGGTCCCGGAAGCTCATTGGCTGGTCAGGCTAGCTGAATTGTTGAGCTCCAAATTCACTGAGACTCTCTCTCAAAAACAAAACAAAACAAAACAAAACAAAACAAAAAAAAACCAGTGGAGGGGCTGGTGAGGTGGTTGAGCAGAGCGAGGACTCCTACACATGCCTGATGAACTGAGTTTGGCCCCTGGACCCCAGGTAAAGGTAGAAGGGAAGACTGAGTCTGCAAAGTTGTTCTCAGACCGCCAGCATGCTCACCCCCCCACACACATCACACATATACACCATCACATGTGCATCCCAGAATGCTCACCTCCCCACACACACCATCACATGTACACCCCAGCAAGCTCACTCACACATACACCATCACATGTGCACCCAAGCATGCTCACTCACACATACACACACCACATGTGCACGCTATCATGCTCACCCACACATACATATACCACCACATGTGCACTCCAGCACATGTATTGCATGTTATTTCAGCTAGCCAGATAATCTTCAACACTTCAAAGACCTAGAGAATATGGCATTTCAAATGTTTTAAAAACTTAAACTTTTCTCAACAGTGAGACATGTCTGCTTCTGATAGCACCAATTGCTTCAGAGAGGTTGATGGACATTGAAGAAACTCATTATGGAATTTGCCTTCAATATGACAAGGCCAGACATTTGGGCAAGAAACTGCTCCTGCCTAGACTGTTTAATGGTATGTTGCATGAACTGGGCATGCAGGACACACAGAAAAAAATGACTGCTAAACTTTCCAAAAGATGGGATGGTCCTTCAGGGTTCCTGCTTCACAGAGTAAACTGCCAGACATTCTGCAGGACACAGAAGAAAGCAACTAATAATCTTTGCTATGACAAGGCAGAACAGATCTTCAAATTTCCTGCTTCATGGAAAAGTCTGTTGGATACTATGAACCTGTAGACTGAAGATGGATGCCCCAATGTTACAAAAGAATTTTGGAAGTTGCTTACAGTGCACTTCTGTTTATTTAGGCAATATTATATCTTTCTGGGGTCTTTGGTGGAGTTAAAGACAGATAGTTATAGTTTTCCTTAGTTATGATAAAAGATAAATTAGATACAAAACTTTAGACTCATACAAAATATTATAACTATAATTCTTGCTTGATAATTGTTTTGTATATGTAATTTTAATATGTTATAGTTAAAGTCTTTCTTTTTAATTAGACAGGAAAGGGGAGATGATGTGGAATGTCCTTCTGTATATGTATTGCTTTATTGGTTGCTGAATAAAGCTGTTTCAGTCAATGGGTTAGCAGTATAAAACCAAGTGGGAAATCTGAACAGAGATATAGAGAGAAAGTAGGGGGAGTCAAAGAGATGCCATGTAGCTGCCAAAGGAGAAAGATGCCAGTCAGAACCTTACCCAGTAAACTACAGCCTCATAGCGATATAAAGATTAATAGAAATGGGTTAATTCAAGATGTAAGAGCTAGCTAGAAATATGGCTGAGTCATTGATCAAACGGAGTTGTAACTGATAAGAGTTTCTGTGTGATTATTCGGGTCTCCACTTACATACACAGACATATAAAAAGAACTGAGAATGCGGCCCCAGGCCTAAGCTAGCACTTGTAATTTCTCTTACATCTCTCTCCCTGTAACCTATCATTTCTGGTCAGCAAATATTCCAGAGCTGTGGGCACAGACCAGAAGAGTTTTTTTGAAGGAAGCCAAAAAGCAGTGTTTGAGCAAAGCGCTCCAGGCCAGAATGATAATATCTTTATGGCTAAACACAGGTCATCTAGGAGCCAAAAGCCCACGTGGAATCAGGAGGAGGGTCAGGAGGAGGGAACCGCTGGCCCCAGAGCACTAGGAGACAGGGAGTGCTCCCTCCCAAGCACAGTGCTTGTTGTGACAGTCTAGGTCAGTGCACAAACCACTGTCCACCTCGAGGGAAAGAGGAGGGCAATCAAGACAAAAGAGCCTACGTGACTGTCCCTCAGTTTGAACCTAAAGCAATAGTCTATTATTTTTTAAAGCTATTTTTAAAGAAGAAAACCAGCAACACTGAGACACTGATAACGGTAAGTAGCTGCATCCCATCTGTCTTCAGATAAAATTTACCTAAGTTTACAGGACCTGCTGTTGGCCATCCCAGCAGGCACTGCTGTGGTTTGGACCTGCCTGCTGACCTTGAGATGACCTCCTCAGGGCCCCCCAACCTCTGACACCGCACTTCCTCCTCAGCAACTGGTTCCATGAGTTCACGGTCACTGCAGTCACTGCATGGGTCACAAACCTTTCCCAGCATCTTACTGCCTGTGAAGCAAAGTCTAGTTTACCCAGCTCCATCTCCACTCACAACCTGACTCCAGCACTCCAACCTCGCCCCATCCTCCAGTCCAGCCATGTAGAACGCTCAGAAAACCTCAGTGCCTTTTCACAAGCTGCCCCCGTGCCATGGAACAGCTCTTGCCCTGATCCCTCTTCTGGCAAACTATTACTCATCTTTAAGGCCTGGCTCACCCAGACAGAATTAGTCACCCCCTCTTACTAGGTCTAGATAGGAAGTATAGAGAGTGCTCTCTTCCTTGGGGCTCCTGGACCCCTCCGTGGTCAGGTCCCAGAACACAAAGCAGAGAATGCTGCGTCGGGTTAGGAGGGAGGAAACAGACTGACAGGCAAGCCTGCCTGCTTCCCCCGGCTCTTGCAAGTCCATAATAAAAAAGACTACGGAAAATTCTGGAGTAAATTCCTCCCTTGGTTCACAAGGAAACCTTTGCTGCTGGGTAATTTACACACATGCCAAACCAAGCTCCCTCAGCTGTTTATGATTTCCCTGGCATTTATAAATAGGGAAGCCCAAGAAAGGAAAACAGTTTCAAAGAAGCTGGAAGCGCTCTCCCATCCTTCTTCCTCTTCCCTTTAAAGTCTCCCACGGAATACTAATAAGCACCCATAACTGTATGGGGCAGGGTGGCACTGCACAGAACACCCGAGTGCAAGGTCCCACAAAAGGAGTCAGGAAGAGAAGGCTGGAACTGGGCCCATGCCCACAGGCTGCTCCTTCTGCAAAGGCTTCTGTCCCCATGAACGCCAGGAGAAACTCCTGGATCCGTTAAAAGATTCCTCTCTGCTCTACGGAGGCTGTGAGAATGGAATGGCATAAACGGGTGGGTGTCTGGGCTGAGGACCTACAGTCGGATCTCCTGCTTGCCCAACCCCAGCTCTCAGGCCTGGGGCTTACCCCCGCAGGTCTGGCAAGTGTTGGACCACGGGGAAGTTGCTATAATAAAGCCGGGGGAAGGCAGACCTGAAAACTGATGGAGGCTTCTAATCACTCAAAAAGGCGTCGACGGTCAGCCAGAAGTTTCTTCTCCAGGCCAGAAGGGACCGCAACACTGCAAGGCGGGAAAGAAAACAGCTAAATACCTTCGTGAAGATGTCAGGCGCGTACAAAGAGGAACTTTCTAACAGTTTTGGGCCCTGAAGGGGGAAGGTATTGCTCAGGAGTGAAGGCTCCGCTGCGTGGACTCCTTATTCGGCCACTATTCAAGCCATGCGTGGGCAGTCACCTGCACTAGGGGTCAGACACCCCCCAAAGCACACGCGGGGCGGTGTCGTTGTGAGGTCCGGTGCCTGCAGCACTGCGGATCTAGGCGTGGCGGAATGGACCGCTCCTCTTCACCTCTATGTCCACCCTTCTCGGTCACTTGAAGAGAGGCAAGGTGAGCAAGCACGTCCTTCCCCCCGCGATGCCCGCGCGTGGACCGAGCTCGGATGGGCACCGGAGGGAGAGGAGGTTCAGCTCGGTCCACCCCGAAAGCCCGGAATCCGGGCGGCCCGCCTCCCTACCTGCTGCGGCGGCGCTGGAGACGGCGTCTGCTCGGTCCAGCTGTGTGCTCAGCTGGTTCCTGGAGTCTGGGCGGGGTGCGCTGCGCTAGCGGCCGGGTGGGCAGGGCGCGCACGGGAGCCGCCCTCGAGGCGGGGCAGGCTGCGGGGAGGAGCGCAGTTGGGAGGAGGAAGACTGGCTTCAGGCTAGCATCCATCTTCTGTCCGGCCCGAAGGTGTCAATCAAGCGCTCTGTGGTCACCAGGAGGAAACTGAGGCTGAGAACATGAAGAGTAGTTCCGAAGGAGCCTTAGATAGTGAGGAGGAGATTCAGGAGTTCACCAGAGAGAGGCTGGGGACAGTTACCGGGCGTGGGTAACCTGCGGTGCAAAGCTAAAGCAGTCCCCGAGTACCTTTAGAGGCAAAACCCCCCTCCCCACTGTGAAATAGCTCCTGGCAGGAAGAGAGAGGGGTGATGGGCAGTCCACCAGCAGCTTGCCCTACTGAAGAGAATGAAGCAGAATTTCTTCTCTTCTAACTTCACCCAGAAGTAAGAAAGGAGAAATGCCAAGGCAATAAAATGTGAACCGTGGCTAGGTGTGAGAGTCAGAAGGCCTGGTCTGGAATGCCTGACATTTCCAGCCCAAGGACTCTGGGTAGCACTATAACACATCACTGCACTGACAGTGCAGCCAGTTGTCAAAGGGGCCTCTCATGGTGGGCGGTGACATGACTCTGCGAGGAAAGAGCTTCTTGGTACAATGGTAGACACTTGTATGAACAGATGTAAAAGCCAATCTTCCCTCAAGGCCCTGGTCGGGAAGGTGAGTGGAAGGGCACTTTGATGCAAGTGTAAGAATTGACTTCGCACCGTATCAGACACCGTTTGAGCATTTATTAAGGCAGGATAACAGGATGCTCCAAGCACGGCTTCCTTTTGGAAGAATTCACACACCACACAGGGAGCTGCAGCAAATGACCATGTCCATTCCAGTCTGAGTGTGTCGGTAGCTCATGTTCACCAGAGTAAGGCTCCCTCCGACACAAAGTAAAATGTAGCAGGATTCAGTAATTACTAAGGGCCGAGGCTGGTGTTTCAGCAGTAGAGAAAGCAAGAACTCAGAATTTCCTACTTTGGTCTTTCATTGAGAAGGAGCCAGGAAAGCCGCAAGGCAAGGCCTGTGGAATCCCAGGCTGGCTCGTGTGTCATCCCTCCCACCCCCACTGCCTGTCGCCCACTCTCTTAGTACCCGCAAGTGCTTCCCATGTCACCAGCTTTCACCCTCCCTTCCCTGTCTCCCAAGGGAGGCATCATGGTGTACCTTTTTCAGAAGAGGTGACAAAGTCACAGAAAGCGCTCTCTGGGTCTGGCCCTCTGCACGAGGCTTGGCCGTGGCTCATATGTTCAATGTCCTGTGTCCTACTCTGCCAAGCTTCCTGATGTGGTAAACTGTCTAGTTCCACTTTCTCTAAAAACTGGGGTGCCACACCCCCTCTGTAGGGCTGGTGGGCTGGAAGGCAAAAGCGCAAGCTGCTTGGGTCTGTGTTGACTCCAAACCCAGGCATACTTGTTCTTAGGGATCATCTAAGGCGTCATTTGCAAACCAACAATGTCTTACAGAGACAGGAGGGAAACCTTCAATCTGTGTCTCCCTGGAGCTAGAATATCATGTTGGGATAGAAGACACACTAGAGAATATCTGTGTAAGCCCTAGTGCTAGAGAAAGGGGACTGAGGTCAAGAAGCAAAGAAGCTTGTTCCTGTAACTCTGTAATTATTCCTCTGCGGTTGGAGAGGCGGAGCAATCACCTGAAATTACCAACACTAAATATAAGGATGAAGATAGAGTGATTGACGCTTGCAGAGGCGGGCCAAGTACGTTCCTCTTCTTCGCTTCTCAGTGTTCACAGATGCTCAGGGGATATCCTAACCTGCCCTCTCTGGTCAGGTCAGCGTTGCAGGGGCTCTAGAAGCCCCATGCCCCATCCCCTTTCTTTTCTGGACTCCCTGCAGCCCAGGATCAGTCAAGTGCATTTGTTCTGGATCCTCGCCTACAGATAGAATCTTGATATACTCTTTTGACAGAAGACCTCCCCATCCTCAGGATGAGGATGGGAGAGATGAAGGCCACACAGGTTATGCAGTAGACAATCTCAGAGGTGCCTGCTTCCTTCTCAAGAATGTCTCACCCACCGATTCACTAAGAACCCATATTTGTACAATATTCCTCCCACAGTCAGAGAAGCAGGTGCATGCTACCCAAGCCTAGCTTTCCCTACCCTCTTCTGTGGATGCAGGGATTCAGTTCCAGGGTGGGGTGACAAGAGGCTGTAGCTTAGCTGATAGAATGCTTGCCTTGCATGTACAAGGCTCTGTGTTCAATCCCCTAGTACTTCACACAGCAACCACGGTGGTACCTGACTGTAATCCTGACGCATAGGAGACAGAGGCCTGAGGATCCAAGGTTCAAGGCCATTCTTGACTGTACAGTGTGTTTCAAGCAAGCCTTTTTTGCTAATTAAAAAATGAGGAAATTCTGATAGAGAAAAACAGTTTTTCCAGGTAGAAGGCAGAGGCATCTTTGGAAGGATGGACTAGAAAGGGGGCCAGCTCTTCTGCAGTTGAGACAGGGGGAGGGAGGGGCAGGAGCTGGAGGCAGGAGAGGAATATGCTTTACTCTACCCGTTGCTCTTCAAAGATGGCTAGGGCCAGCTCACACCAGCTCACAGGTAAATCTCTGGGAATGATTTAAAGCCAATTTAAACACAATTTATATAAATAACAATTCATGTGAACTAAGAATTAATTACACCGGTAATTCATTCTCATAGCATGATTTCCAAATCCATTTAGATTAGACTTTTAAGAGCATTTCAGCTATGTCCCCATAAGGCAGAAATGCTACATGGAAAGGTACTAGTTCATGTCTCTTGCCAATTCTACCTTTCCTCATGTCGTGCTGGTAGACAGAGATCAGCCAAGGTAGAAATTTTTACAGGGGTCAGCAAAGCCTTGAACCAGAGCTCCCACCCTTTAGTGCCTGAATGCCTTCCCTCCAAGGCCAGCACAACACAACCCACACCCTGCCACACCCAGCCCTGCCCCCACCTGCCTACTCTCTGAAGTCACACATTAAATGTGTGTGTCCTCAGGGAAAGTCTGTCCACTTGATTTTCAGCTATAACCCTATGATCAAATAGTGTCCGCCAGAGAGCAAGGGCTAGACAACTTTTTCAGTGACCTCATTAGTAAAGGAGATGCATTTGGTTAGATACAGGGATTGGAATACAGTGTGGGCCTTGAAAGAGGGTTGAAAGAATGGACAACCCAAATGTTTTCTGAGTGTCCTGGGCAGGGATGTGTTTCTGCCATTTTTGTTTAGTTTATTGTGTGCTTGTTTGGTTGGATTTGGTTTGAGTGCTGGGGAGGTTGAATCTGGCACACCTCCGCTATATGCTAAGTGCCTCTGAATTAAACCCAGTTCCATGCAACCCCTGCCAACTCTGTTCTGGTACCCATCGTTTATGGATTTCCACACCACTGGGTTTCTAGCAGGCATGAGTCTGTAATTGTGCCACAAATGCCAATGAGATTCTGCGCATGTGACATCAGCAAGGCCCACTGATTCTGTGACACCGCACGGGACAGCTGCCTCACCCTCTTCCAAGACACATTGTCAGGAAAGTACCAGATATCCCTTCATTCTGCCAAGCCTGCCACTGCTGCACCCGCTGCACACAGCAGGCCCTAGGATGATAACACTCGCAATAATCCTACAACAGAAAGCCCAATTACAACTGCCACGTATCACTCCCTGTCCTTGTTAACTTTGACATCACTGTTATTCCATTGGGACACTTTAAGAACTAACCACGCCCATCCCAGCCAATTTGACCCTCCCCCCCTCCCGTCATCTCTCTCTCTTTCTCTCTCTCTCTCTCTCTCTCTCTCTCTCATGCGCGCGTGTGTATGTGTGTGTGGGTGCGTGTGCGTGTTTGTCTCGTCTCATGTGTACGTGTGTCTTTGTTCTCTCTTTGTTTTTCTCTTCTTTAAGCAATAAATGTCTCCCTCTTCTTTAAATAATACTATGTCCTATGAGCCTTTTATCTGCCGTAACCGCCTGACTCCCCCGGCCGCATGGCGCTGCAGGGACTCACGGCCATCCTTGTCAGACTCTGCGAGCCGCGGGGCCATCCCATCATCATTATTTTTAAAAAGAACAATAATCACAGAATAGTAAAGTAGGAAAGCCACAGAATGGGATTTGAGCACAAATTTTTCTGTGGCCCAAGTGAAAGGCACTTGAGGATCAAGGTCCTTTAAAGTATCAAGAACCATTTCATCTAAGGGCTCGAGAGATGGCTCAGCAACTAAGAGCATTTACTGGTCTTGAGGAGAACCCAAACCTAACAACAGTTCAGATGGACATGATTCGGACTCCCACTTTCCAGATGGAGAAACTGAGGCTCAGCAAAAGGGTGAAGTCTCTTATTTCTGCTGCACGCCTGTGAAATGGCCAAACTGGTCAGTATCTTGACAATCAGGGGCCAAAGAAGGCCACAAAGTCACACCACACAACAGACCTCATGTAAGAGATTTACTGGGGAGGAAGGATGTAAAATGGCTGCCTTTGAGAGGGGATGGAGCCAGCTGTGGACCAGGTTGTGACAGAGCTTTATAGGGAGCGTGGAACACGCGTATATGGAAAATATGGTGTCACACTGGACGTTAATGACGACGGGGGCCAGGCCGTTGGCACTGAGTCACTGAAGGTGGGGAGAAACGCGGTTCCTGAATATGGGCAAAGAACTTTCGGTGGTTCTCAGTATGCCCAACACATATACTCACCCTCTGAAACCCTTCTTTCTGTAAGTCGCTTTGATCATGGTATTTTGTCCTGGCAGTAGAAAAGGAACTAAGTTAGGTGGTGGTGGCTCACACTTTTAACCCTAGCACTCAGGAGGTAGAGGCTGGCAGATCTCTGTGAGTTCAAGATCAGAGCTAATAGGACAACCAGAGCCATTACATAGAGAAACCTTGTCTCAAAAAAACCAAAAACAGAAGGGAGGGGGAGGAAGAAAGAGGGGAGAAAGAGAAGGAGGAGGAGAAGAGAGATTCCAGTGGAGTGCACAGGGCCCTGCTGGCCTCA